TTCAGTACTTCCTTTACTGCCTTTGCTAACTTGAGCAGAAGTCCTAATATTTTGATAATAAATAAGTAAATTTGAATTGTTGGTATCATTTTATTTAAGTAATGCATAAGGTTCGTTTTAAGTAGCTTTTTAAAAATTTTCCAGACCCAGTTTTAAATTGATTCAAATTTATTTGTTTTATACATTTTACATCAATCAGTTTGGAGGTCACACATGCATTTCTAATGGGAATAGTTGCCACCATTGTTAATGTTGGTAAACGGGTCTATGGGCCAATCATTAGCTGCAACTACAACCTTCCACCAGGAGCGATAGGGTCACTGTGCCTCAGTATTTCTACCAAAGGGTCACTGCTGATGCCGGCTGCACTGAAAGGCTCAACACCAGACATGGCCACAGGGTCAGGAGAAGATCGCCTGAGAAAGCTGTCCGATGTACATGGATCTGAACCCTTGAAGGATCACCTCCAAAGAGACCAATTTCCCCAAAAGGATCGGCCTTGAAAGGATCACTGCCAACAGAAATATCAAACTGGAAAAAAATCCAAGTCTCTACCTGCACCTGGATCTGCCAGGAACCTTGATGCTAGCCGTTGTGTCTCCCTCATTGGAGTGTCTGTCACTGTAGGATTCAGGATAAACTTGCTCTTGGCAGCTGCATCGCCAGCCCCTTCTCAGGAGCCACCACTCCCCACACCTGCCTTCCCCACACTAATGTCTGTGACCCTGAGCTGTGCATATATGTATATAACACGCCTGGTTAATTTCTCCTCGTCAAACCACCCGCCTCCTCCTTCCCTGAAGATTCCAGTCTGTTCCATACTTCCATGTCTCTGGATCTGTTTTATTCTTCAGTTTACATTATTCCTTAGAATCCACACACAAGTGAGATCATGTGATACTTACCTTTCTCTAACTGGCTTATTTCACTTAGCATAATACTCTCCAGGGCCCTCCGTGCTGACTCAAAGGGTAAGAAATCCTTCTTTTCTACGGCTGCATAGCATTCCATGGTGTAAATGTACCAGCTTTTTTACCCAGTCATCTACTGATGGGCCTTGGGCTGTTTCCAGATCTTAGCTATTGTGAATTGGGCTTTTATGAACATAGGAGTGTATATGTTCTTTCTGATTGCTGTTTCTGGGTTCTTAGAATATACTCCACACCATTTTCCATAATGGCTTCATCAGTCTGCATTCCCACCAGCAGTGCATCAGGGTTCCCTTTTCTCCACATCCTCATGGACAATTGTCATTTGTTGATTTGTTGACAATTAACATTCTGACAGGTGAGATGATACCTCACTGTTTTTTATTTTGCATCTCTCCGATGATCAGTGACTGCACCAATTTCATTGATTACTATGGGTTTCCAGCTCTTTCCATCCGTTTCCTTTTCATCCATTTGCATTCAACTGATTTCCTGCTATAAACTATGTAGGAGCTACTGAGGAGGTCCAAGGTGGCCCTTCCCTGACTCCACACTCTACCCCAATCCTGCTGTTCCTGCTGTAGGCCACTCCACTCTTCCCCAGCTTGGCTAGCTCTTCCTTAGAAGTGCAGATCTGTGACTCTTCACTAGTTTCTTCAGCGTCCAGGGATGTGACCAGCTGGGCCACCTCAGTGCATTTACCTCTGACCCCCTAAGTTGCTCCTGCAGTTGGGCTTCCGACTCATCCAACCCATTAAGAAGACCCTGTCCTTTCTGTTCCTGGGGCCGGTAGTTTCAATAGCAGGTCAAGACACACAAATGGGTTGTGGATTCAATACCTGGGCAGGGTACATGCAGAGGACAACTGATCAATGCTTCTGTTTCACATCCATGTTTCTCTGCCTCCCTCTCTCTAACCATGTCCTCTGATAAGAATTTAAAAAAAAAAATAGAGTACCTTTTTTCTCCTTAAGGTCTGTTGCACATTATTCATTTCCCTCTTTAGGTCAATGG